TTGGAGGTAACGCGTTTTGCATTCCCTTTGACCCTCAAATTTGGCCAACTTGACGACGACGACGACGACGACGGTGACGTGATCCCGATGAAAGTGTTGCCTACCCTCATCGATTCGCCTCGTTTCATTCGATGTAGTACTAGTACGATGCCCCTTTGGGGGATGGTTAACCTGCTCGATCCATTTTTCCAAGATCGTTGACTCGAGGGGAGGGAGGGAGGGAGGAGGGGAGAGCTTGCGATCCAACCGAAGGAAGGATCCTTTATTCCGATTACAGGTTGATTCCATAGGAATTTGGAGGGAGGAGGGTGGAGGTAATTTAATTGGACTTTGTTTTAGGAGATCTCGTTTCACTTTTGAAGAGTTTTATCGTTTATTATTTGGTTTATTGTGATGGTTGAGATAGAGAGGAGGTAAAGGATTATGGTACATTCATTTCTTGTTCATTTAAGAAGAATGGGGATGGAATAGAGGCTTATTAGAGAGGTAGAGAGAGAGAGAGAGAAAGAGAGAGAAAATTTGGTGGAATTTAGATTTTGAGGATGAATAGAATAGAATAGGTGTCTTGTATTAATTTGAAGGTTAGAAGAAGAGAAATGATTTTTTTTTTTTTCCGTTAATTTTGATATCACAGAAAAATAGAACGAGTGACGATTTGTTTTTTATTAATCTTTCTTTATGGGGAGATTTATTAAAAATAAATTTTTAATAAAAATAATCAGAGCATCTGAATTCCGAAAAATGACATAAAAATTACTTATTTAAAATCACGATGACAAGTAATCAGATTTCATTGTCCCTTAAAGAATAGGAAGTATTTGTAGAAAATATAGATCTGGAAGGATAAAAAGAAAGAAGAATGTCTTTTGTTAAAGGGAACTTCTAAGAAGAAATGGCGATGAATCCAAGAATTTCAGAATTAAATGCATGCCTGAGCGATTCGAATGTCTTCCTCTAGAATCTTCGTTCATTTCCTTCGCGACTTTCAATAAATATTATACGGAAAGAGGAGAGGAAGAAAAATAAATAAAAAATTTTATTTTAACCTTTTAATTTTCATATTTCTCAAGACTGGAAAATAACAAGAAATGATATATCGATCGAAAAGTTTCTGGATTCAAGTCGCGATTGGAAATCGTGAAAAAGGTTCTTTCTGTTATTCAATTAAGAGATTGAAAAGTTGTTACTGGTCTTCTGAAGGCAAGGGAAAGAATGTTCTCTTCTCTTGATTTTTATTTAATCAATTAACTTGGACGGTTTTATCCAATGATTATTTCATCATCTTTATCATAATTGTAACGAAAACTAGCTTCCAAAGTTAAGTTGAATGGAAGAGGAAATCATTTATGCTTTCAGAACAGAATTTTATATTTCGTTAAAAATAAAATTTCAATTTTTTTGAAAGGAATAATAAAAAATTAAAAAAAAAAATCCAAGCGCGATAAAGTTTCAGAGATAAAAAGCCAATTTTCTAAATATTCCTTCAATGTGTGCTCTCTCCAAATAAATTTATAATAAATCTTGCAAATTGACAATTTAAAATTTTTAAAGTGAAATGTCAAATTTTATGGAAAAATTCTCTTCAATAATGAAAAAAATGAAAAAGATTCCTATATAAAAAAAAAATCCGATAGTCGGTGTTTAAAAACATGCATCTGTCCAAGTTTTGCAACGAAAATACGGAATTTGTCAAATTTCTTCGAACGAAATATCAAATTCGCGTAACAAAGTTCTCGCTGATAAATAAATAAATAAATAAATAAATAAAAATATTATTTTTAAACGGTGAATATTGAATATCACTGATAAAAATCTATGTAAAAAATCGAGATCCATAGAAAGAGAAATAGATAGAAAATAAAAAAAAAAATATTTATGAAAAAAAATTTGACGGATAAACCTGAATGAAATTTACTTGCACAAATAAGCGCGATAAATGCATCTGTGCCTGGTACAATGATGTCTGTAATTTTTCTGGATTAAAATTTTATGACAAATATTCTTCTGCAAGGAAAACAAATATCTTGATAAAATGATTCCATTAAAGAAGAAAAGAAAAAAATATAACAAAAATTTACGCGATACGTATTTTTGTACATATTCGTTAAGTAATTAATTAGTATGAATTAATAATCGATGCGTAAATTTTCTATAAATTATCGAATATAGAAATTTTTACAAGAATTTCGATGTAGGATTTAAAATTTCCTTAAACATTGTTCATAAATGATCGATTAATTCGCGATATCACATGATATAACAAAAAGAAAAATATCTTTCGGAAGCAGAATTTCATAACGAAACGAAGCGTTTTCAATCGCTTTATTGAATTTTTCCCACTCGAGAGGGAAGGGTTTTCACTTAATGTCTTCGAGTAAAGAAGTTAACTTATTCGAATCAGCCGACCTCAATTTGTCGTAAAAGGAGCAAGGGAAAGAAAGCTCGAAGCCTGGTTCGGGGATATCCAAGTAATTTTTTTTAATCGAGGAAATATTGCCTTATCCGAGAATAGTGTGATAACCGGATATTAAGAAAAATTCAAACGTGAAATGGAAATAAATTAAAAATATCAACGAGAATCGGAGAATTACAATTGATAAATTGGAAATTGAAATTGAAATTTTGATATTTCGAGAAAATTAAAAGTTAGAATAAAGAAATTTTAAAATATTTCAAACTTTACGAGAAATATAATAATAAAATTTCTCCAATATTAGAAATTTAAATTTAAAAGATTATTAAAATTCGTAATTATTGAAATTAAATTTCAATAAAATAAAAGAGAAGAAAGAGAACAGAAATTCGAAGATCTAAAAATGAACGAAACTGAAAGATTCGATTCTGGAAAATTAATTAATATCTCGTTGATATTTTTAATTTATTTCCGTTTGAATTTTTCTTAAAATTCGTCCAATTCAAGAAATTCGATCATACGACAAAATATGATATCAAATTTTCAAAATACTAATATTCCATCACTTTCCAAAATCCTCCCTCCAACGTATAAATACGAATAAGCGAAAATAATTATTATCGTTTCACTCATTATACTAAAATTCAGGAACAAATTTTCGTTTCGTTGAGTATTCGTGGAAAATTGTCGCAGGTTCGAGATAAAAAAAAAAAGAGAGAAAATGTGGACTTTTCATCCATTCGTGGTGGATGAAAACCGCGCGAAAAGCGATGTTTTTTTTCTCTCTTTCTCTCTCGAACACACATTCCGTGTTGCTGGATGCGTAATTGCTGATGGAATGAAATTATCGGCCGCTTTTAACGAAGATAAGGGAAGGTTGGGTGATTAATGAAAAGCACCTTTGAGGGGAGCGAGGAGTAGAATCCACGTAAGGGCGTCGATGCAATTACGGTGGATTGTCATCCGCGAATAAATGCATTCCGGAGTTATCGTTGCCCCTAAGAATCCTGCAATTTATGCACGATTTACGTTGCACGGTATGCTTTTGCTGAGATTACGTAAAAGGTTTCTGTTAGGTTTAACTATGGAAATTTTACGAAAGAAAAATTCTTTCGTTTATCCTTCCCGCGAATTTCAAATATATATTTTTTCGATATTCGAAGATTTAAAAATTAAAAATATTTTGCGAGTTCGTGGATTTTTCCAAATATTTTTAAATTTATATGATTCGTTGAATCTTTATTGAAATTCGAAAAAACTCTAATAAGTTCGGAAATATTTATAAAATTTGGAAGGGTTGGAACATTTTTAAGATTTGAAGAAAAAGAATAAAAATTCACGGATTCAAGTTACATCGAATTGTCATGCATAAAAAAGACTTACGTAAAAAGAAATTCTTCAACTATATTCTTGTAGCAAACAGAGGAGGTCAAAGGATCTCTCCACGCTCCATCCATAGATTCCGATAGAAAGAAAGTCCATCCCTCTTCGGATGATAGAAAAATCGAGAAGGCAGGTAGACTGGATGTTCCGCGATAGGAAAATGGCGCGACGTGAAGTAACGACTTCTCGAATCCATTCTCGTTACAGCATGAAACGTGGGTGACGTGCCATCGTCCAAGGCTAGTTTCACTCGAAAGAAAACGTCCCTTTTGGGAGGGAAAAGCTGCTATATTTCGAGGTGGCCAATCGGTCCTGTCTCCTCTCGTGAACCTTCACGAGACCCATAACAAGATTTTTCGTGTAACCAGTGCCCCCCTCTCCTTTCTTTTGTCAGGGCCAATCGATTCCTCGTCTTTTCTCTTCTTCTTCTTCTTCTTCTTTTTCATTTTTTCGCCCGTTTTTCTCGTTGAATCCAATTCTTCAACGAGAAAAGGAAATTCTTCTTACATTTTACTTTAATTATTTCGGTATCAAATGATTCACACGATTTGAAGTAATTTTCAAGTAAGTTAGATGCGCTTATTTTCATAGCTGTCGATAAATCATCGATAATCTTCCTCTGTAATTTCATTCTTCTTCCTTTTTCATTTAATTTCGAAGATCGAAAAATATATACGACGATACAACTCACGTTAGAGAGTATGACGTTATCGCGAAGTTTCGTGAAAACGGGGAGGGGAAGAGAAACGTGAAAGTGCGCCGACATTTTATGACAGGTGTAAACGCATTCCTTGGTGGGTTGGCGCGCGTACGACGTCGTTTAGGAACAGAGATCTGTGCGGGAAATAGCTCGTTCGATGGTTTACGGGCGTGCCGTGGCCACGGTTCTGCAGAGAATTAAATGGACGACAGATACAGGTGATAAAGCCTCGTGGCTCTCGAATTTACCCGAGACAGTGGCTGCCATCTTTTCGTGATTGAAAGATATTCGAACTTTAGGCGTTTTCCTTTCGAATTCTTATTCGACAATTTCTTACTCGAATCTTGGAAAGTTTTAATACTTTCACAGATTGGAATTACTTCAAGTTGGGGAAAAATTTGTATATCTTCCAATTTAACCTTCTTTTCAATTTCTCAATCTTCAGAATTTAAATCTCGATCACTTCTCTTTAACCAACACAGATATCCGAAATTCAAATTATAGGTATCTGCAACAGTCGAACGCAGCTCAACTTAGGCCGTTACAAGCCTAATCACCCGAAGCAAAACGAGTCTTAATGTATTCATACACGCGAGCAGACGATCGCACCCTCCTCCGATAATGGTCGTTCTTCGTCGCGGGCCATTTTGTCGAATTCGAGCAATTAGTCCGCTGAACAACGGCCACCGACGAGTAGTCGGAGGATTGGAGGGGCGCGGGACATCAGGCGTCCAAGTGGGGAAGGGGGAGAAGAACAGAAAGAAGAAACAAGAAGAAGAGCTTAAGAGGAACGGAAGTTAAGTCGAAGTATCATTAACCTGGTGGAGGTTGTTGTTTCGGCTAATGAGATGGCCCACCTGGACGCAAGCTAGACTTGTAAGCTGCTTCTTACCATCCTCCTTCTTGCGCTTGATATTATAACAATATGTGTCTGATATATATACAGGTGAGTTGACTTTTTTTTTTTTTCTCTTATTAAAGTTCTCTTTTTAAGATTTAGATATAAATTTTTATATAATAAAATTATAATATAAAATTGTACAATTATACAGTTTTATATATTATAGTATAGGTAGGTTGATTTTAATTTCGAGAAGATTTAAAAATTGAAATTGGAGATGCGTAACTTTTAATTCTAGTGGAAAATCAAATATAAAGAAAGTACCTATACATAAATATATAATTTCAAAATTATGTATCATTCTGAAAATTGTATCAGAAAAATTAAATAATTAAACGAAGTGAAACATGAATAATAATATTAGAGAATATATGAATATTTATCATTTCTACAAACATCTCACTCTCGTTTTATACGAGCAATCTCTATGTTACCGGTAGCGCAGATCGAACAAAATATTAATTCACAATTTGGATATTTATTAGTTCAAATATCTAACGATATTAGGGGACGTGTTTACCGTTATACATACCATCAGCACACGTAATTATGGTCTCTCGTTTCGGATATACGGTGTATAACGGTGGCTCTGAAACGAAATCGAGGCCGTGCGCGAGTTATTAGCGATCGCATTTACCAATTACCGACGGAACTATATCGGATTATCGTTCATTGCGGCCAACGTTAAATAATAAAATTCACTATGAGCTTGTTCCAGCTTCTCTCGCCTGGCTTAAGGTTTAAACGAGCTCGAATTTTTCCATTTTAAGAGGGGATCGTTTAATTCGATCAACATGAAATACAAATTATTATATATATAATTCACGCGAGCGTGAAACGTTTCACAGAACACGGTTTAATAACGGTTGTGAATGAACAGTTTCGAGGTTACACTCTCTTGTGAAAAGGAGCTATGAATCCGAGAAAATTGCGTTTTCATTGTTGTTGTTTTCATCGTTGTTACAAAAGAATTGAAAATATTGTTTTTACGAATTATGTCGAACGGCACAATGAATTTGCTCTATATTTGGTTTTCGTTTTTCTTTTAGTTAGTTTTTTTGTTAGAATTTTCTTTGCCATCTTTGTAGTTAATTATTTGTAATTAAATTTAAAAATAATATCTCAATATGTGTAATATCTATTTATAATATTTTTTGTAATTGTTTAATTAAATAGATTGTTAGTCGAGTTTCAGAGATTTTGTTTAGTAAAGAGATTGGTAAATATTCAGAGAAATATATTTCGGAAAGAAAAGCAATGAAAACTATTTTTTGTTTTTATTAAAATTTATAAGATAATTAAGTATATGCAAAATATATATAAAAAAATTTTATTATATGTTTTTATTTGTGTTAATAAAAATTTTAATTTTAATAGATCGAATTATGGATAATCAGAATATTGATTAATAAAAATTAAATTTATTCAGAATCAACAAATTCCATCCATAAGGAATTTTTTAACGGATAAATTGTTCCCGAAAGAAACGATGATACGTTGCAAGATTTTTTAAATTTGCAATATTCGATAAACAAACCGCGTTTGATTTTTTATTTCGAGGAAAGAAGATGATATCGCGTTAATTGAAAATGATCAAAAGGAGAATGAATGGACAGTTTAATCGACCCGTGTCGGGCACGAAAATATCCGCTTAATTTTAAAGAGAGCGCGTAAATCATTTATACCTCGCGAAAGTACGGTAAATTGGCCGGAAACGGGCCTGTAATACGTTTACGAAATACCAGGGATATTCCCGATGAAAAATGAATTCCAGAGTCGTAAAGCAAACTTACGATCGGTGGAATAAATTCCATCGATCTAACGTGGTGGTTCTTCGTTGCATCATTGCAGTTTCATCGGCGATGCAATTTTTTTTCCCTCCCTCCGTGAAAATATTTTTACGCGACATCGATCGTTTAATAACATCGAGTTATATCGTATTCCTTTTATTCGAATCTATCTTTCGAAAATGATAATTCAAAATTGATTGTATCGTGATATAAACTATTATTTTGTAGATTTGCGATATAAATATAAGAATAATATTTTAGATATAATATATCATTGATATATATCATTATTTTTCTTTCCCAAGGAAAAATGGTGAATCCCAAAATTAAAGCAACATTGTATTAATAAAATAGAATAGAATAACAGGATAGATATCAAACACGATGGAATGAAATAATAAAATTTTCGTTGTAACATTAAAACATCATCCTTCTAACGAAATAAATAATAACAAGAGAATTGAAGAGAGTAAGAAGACAAGACGCATCGCGATATAAAAATATGCAGACTTGAAACTCGAGCAAACGCGACAAAGAATTGGTATCAATCGCGATAAACGAACGATCAATTCCACCGATTCTCGAGGGTGGATAATAGAAGGTTAGAGCAAAAGTTAGAATCCCGATTTGGAAAGATTTAGCGTGGTGGGTCAGCCAAGGTTCCTTGTTCCTTCGTTCTTGGCGCAACAAGTGCCTTTTTCGTAGCGGCCTCGTAAAATCGTTGCGCGAGCCCGATCGTTATCCAGAAAATTAATCAACCACGTCTGGCGGAAGGTAACCCTAGAAGCTAACGAGGCGAAACTTCGTTAGCCTTAAAGCGCGCGAATCACGGGATTCGTGGTATCGGAGAGTGCTCTCTTCCAGCTCGTAATAATCGACACCACATCGTTAAATCGCGGCTTGGGACAATCGAAGAAACGCCACTTATGCTCCGAAATCTCGTAATTTCGATCGCTTTCTCGAGAAAATGGGAATAATTGATAATTTTAGTCTTTTTTTTGGAATAAATTAATTTCATAATTTATACTATGAAATTTCATAGCTTTTAATTCATTCTCGAGAAAAAGGAAATAATTTGATGAATTTCAAGAAAGGGAGTTTAAATTGATCATTTTGGAAAATTTGTATGGAAGAATTATTTTTTATTAGGCAGATCGTTGTTAAATTTTTAATTCTTTAGAAAAATAGAAGAGGAAATTTTACAAGACAAATGTGACAAGATGGATGGAAATACTTTGGAATAATTAGATCGTAATCGATTCTTCATCGATCAATTTAATCGATCGATGCGACTCGCCTGAATCGAAATTTTATTAAGCTTGCATCGTTGTAATTTCGTCCAAACAACTGAATCGCAAGAAACAAGATCAGATACTTATTTCGAACATTCAAATCTACCAATTTAATCAATCCAAGGAACAAATATACATTTTCGAGTTTCGAAACTTCTACCCTCGTACGGAACAGGATTCATTCCCAATTGTTGGACGATCTTTCGAGGAAACGAGTTTGCGAATAGCTTGGCGAAATAGCTGCCCGATAGATAGAGAGGGGATGGAAGGGGGATCCGCTTGTGCAGAATGTTGATCGAGGCCCGTAGATATTTTGATGAGATTCCTTTTGAGCGACGTATCCTTAACCCTCCCCTCCTCACTCCTCGTTCTCCACTCTCGTGGCCCGTCAAAGCGGAGTGTAATAATTTGCGCGCACGAAACAGCTGCATATACACGCTACACCACGCCACGATATGCATGATATACTACAAACGCCCGCTACGTACGTACAGATATTACTGGTATCGCGGGAGCGACCCAACCATCTGCATTATTCTCCAAAACCCGCGATTAACCCCTTTACAATGTGGATACAAAGTGGAATTTTTTTTTTTTTCCTTTCCTTTTAGAAGCGATAGGACCATTCCCTTTGTAAACCGCATCGTCGTTCGTTTGTTCGTTTGTGGTAAAGATCGCATTCGCACGAACGAATAAATAGTAGGTCATAAGTCATAACTTACTTAACTATTCGTTATTAAGAAAAATATTGTGAATAACGAATAAGTGAGATAGCGAGACAGATAACTTTTAAAGTGAAAAATTTTATCATGAACCGAATGTTTCCTTCTTTTTTTTTCAGAGTTAAAAATAGAAATAGGATGTTTGAACAGGTTTGAACAGGTTTGAAGAAGTTTTTCGAGAAAGTTTGATCAGGTTTGATCAGGTTTGATCAAGTTTGAAAAAGTTTTTCGAGAAGGTTTGATCAGGTTTGATCAGGTTTGATCAGGTTTGAAGTGGATTCGACGAGGAATTATCACTACTTCACCGCAGCGCGACATTTTTCCTCACTTCTAACGCGAATTTCGAAATTTACCCTCGTAAAATTACCCTCTGCAACGCAACGCGCAATATTTCGCAGAGTTTCGCCGGCTAATTCCGCATTACCGATAAATACGTTTGCACGGGTCAAGAAGGCAGGGAAGGAGGGGCTGATAGGAGGGAAGGAAAAACGCGGAAATACGCTTGTTCACGTGTAAAACTACCCCCGAGGATACGGCCTCGTATAACTCAGCCAACGTTGGAAGCCGTGGTCCAACGTTTGTGCGCGGCGGGGTTGGCAACAAATCGCGTTGGCCGCCGGTGTACTCGCGTATTTTCCGTGTAACGTGAAATTACTTTGCCAGCTTGGCTGCGAAAGTTGCACGCGCCCCTGCTTCGATAGCCGTTGCCCGTTTCCTGCGTTATTGCGAAACGCCGGGGTTACTACGCACCATCCCCCCATCTGTAAATCTCGCCCTATTAAAACAAGGAGCGGAACCCTTCTCGAGCTTCTCCTTACGTTCGTGTTGGGATGACGCGTTCGTGAGGCTGTATCTCCGAGATTTGTGGTTCATTTGTCCGGAGAAGGGGAGAGAAACGGTGGATGAAGGTGCGGAGAAGTTCGCGCCGTTAATTGCTTTCGGGGTAAATCAGGAATTATTGTTATCGGGTGAAAGTTGTTGTTGTTGGAAGCGAAATTGCGTAGAAAAATATGCTATGCGTGAGAGAATAAAAAGGAAAAAAAAGGGAGAGTGATTATATAGGTATATTTTTAATTCTGTTCGAGAATAAATGTTGAGGATAAAGTGAAATGAATGTATTTAATCGAATAAATCGTGTAATTCGAGTATTTGTTCCTCATGGGTAAGATTAGGGTACGTCGAATAGATATGATGGGATGATCCAATTTA